TCGAAAACAAAAGAATTCTGAAAAGGCATAATTTCATTCCTTTTATTTTCATTTAATTTCTATACTACACAATAGCCAAAACGTTTAAAGAAGTTTACAACCCAAAAAGCACAAAACAATAAAAGTACATTGTAAAACAAACAAAATATAAAAACAACTTAAAGCAAGTAAAATTTTGCAATATAATGCCAGGATCTGATAAAAACAACCAGCATCATTAAAAGCCTTGTCATATGCCATCAAATGCCTAGGAGTAGAGAAAAATCTTAATCTGGTCTCCAAAAAAAAGACAATGTTAGACATTCAATGGAGAAAACATTTAATTATCAGGGGCAACAATCAAGGTGGCCTTCAGCTTTCTCTGAGTCCCCTTGGAAGAGGCGCTTTGACGTTCATAATTAAGTTCATATTAGAATGGTACTCTCAGTTACCTTCACACACAGCCTAAAGTATCCAGGTCACATCTGATGCAGAAGAACTGGTCAGTGATCATGTAGTTGAAACCACAAGCAAATGTTTTAATTTTGTCACAAATGTCACAGTTTGACATCGGCAGGGCTGCTAGGTAAGACACCCTCAGTGAGTTCTTTCCCTGGTGTGGCAAGAGCTAATTGAAGCATCTCACCATCATGGCCACCAGCTGCTATGGCTTCTCATCCTTTCTTATCATTGCTACTACTTATTTTCGATTTATTTATTTTTCGATTTATATCCTGCCTTTTTCCTACAAAGGGCTCAAGGCAGCTTACATCTCCTCCATCTTAGCCCCACAACAACAACCCTGTGAGGTAGGTTGGGCTGAGTCTGTGACTGGCCCAAAGTCACCCAGTTGGCTCCATGGCTGAGCAGGACTAGAACCCAGATCCTCTGAGTCCCAGTCCCATGCTCTTAACGACTACACCACACTGGCTCTACTTGTGTGCTACAGGTGGAGAACACAGTGAGCTTGAGAGAGAGAAGCAGGTGAACAAGTAGCTTCCAAAGAAGAGGAGGACCAACTCCAGGGGCTTGTGTTGGTGGCCGTTGCTGGGGGGGGCGGGGGTGGATCCTTGGCAGGTCCTTAATCATGCAAGCCCAACACCAGGCACAGGCTTTGGCAATGAGAGCTGCACAGCTGCCACTGTAGTCAGGGCTTTTTAGCCTCTGGTCCCTTCCCTAACATGAGCCCCCTCACGCACTATCTTTGGTACTTTCTGATGTGACATCGAAATAACAGTTTCATGGCTCCACAGACAGAACACAACCATGAAAGGGAAAGAAAGTAATTAATTCAAGGTTTGTATGTCAGTTTGTATAGTCATCAACTCCTAAACTGAGAAGGAAAACCAAAAAGATAAGAATAGCTGTTAAAAAGGGCAGCAGTGGAGTTTTTATTAGTAGTACTACAGCACAATGTTGACCCCACAGAGCAATCAAGATTTGTGTGGCAAACACCACTTGATTTCTGTTGAGTAGTGCTCACAACAGAGCAAGCTTCTATCACACAGAACTCTTCTTCAAGCCGAAAATACAAGAAAGTAAATTAAATATTTTCTAAGCAGGTTGTACTGCTTTGTTATGTTGTTTTGAAATGGCCATTAAAAACTGAAGATATACCAAAGAAGTTAAAGGTAAAAATAATTAAATTGCAATCAGACCAAAGGCACAAGGACACCCATAACAAAACAACTGTATGTACTGTTCCTCTCCAACAAGCTAAGAAAAATATCACAGCTACGGTCACACTCAGCTTGCTGCAATATCTTGAACTGAACCAGGGGAAAAGGAAGGGAATTTCCTGAAAACCAGCTGCTGCAGGGACAACACAACCCTTGACAGTGTAATACATTTGGTATCAAATGAATACACCACCGTTTTATTTGTGGTGCATTACAGTATTACAGAAAATTTGGTCCAGTTTCTCTTTCGTTGTACATCAAGCCCCATTCACCCAAGCTGTTACATTCCTACTGTTCCCATTGATGTGCAAGACACCAGATCAATCTGGAGCTCCAAATTTTTAACACATCTGATATGATCAATTTTCACTATAACCATTTGCAATCAGACCTGAAAAAACAAAGTAGGTTCTGAGCCCTGTCTTTTGCAGTCATGTGGTCATGTGCATTGGGAGCACAAGATGGTATCCACCTCGTCCAAACAGTGGAGGATGGGTAAGGATATGAGAGTTCTCTGTGGGCCTCCCCTTCCACATAAGGTCCTATTTTGCTTCCTGCAGGCAAGTCCTGGGCAGCCAAAGAATAAAGCAGGCTTCTTTTCAGATTCCCTGCACTGTGGCAAATTGGCTCAGGGTGCTTGGCACATCACAGCAACCCACTCAGCAACAAGTCATGGCAGGGTGTTCGTCATACAAAGAATCCATAGCAAGCCCTGAGAGAAGATTGGGCTCACGATAGATTGTTTCCCCCTCTTTTCCCCTCAATCTCCCCTTGGGTATCCAAAGAAAAGTCGTATCATCCTCTTCTTGGCCCCAAACATGAGCCACATGGAGTCACTGTGTCTTTTTTTCTTCATGCCTCTTTTCTTTTAGAGATCATGAAGGCCGATTGTCAATCCAGTTTTGCGATCCCCATTTTGACACCTATAGGCAGCTCCTCCAAGTGTCCCAGGGGCACCTTGGAAGGGCTGCCATGTTTACCAAGGCCTCTCTCTCTCTCTCTTTGGGGGGGGGGTGCTTCCCCCCCCCAAATCTTTTGAAGCACAGATTTGTGATTGCAGGCTTTGAAGCCTTGAATGAGGAAATGCCTAGGTGGTGGGGGGGGGGGCACCAGCACTAGACATTGCTCAGAAGGGGCTCCACGATTCCCCCCTTTGCTTCCTCCCAATAGCTGTCAGAAAGAGACTGTCAAGACAAACCAAAGGTATGAGGCATCATTGGCTGCCAAAAAGGTTTTCTTCAGATAGCCCAGATATGGGCTATTGCACTGGCGTTCAAATCAAAATAATAATTTATATGCCCTTCCTCAGCAGAACCCTCACCCACTCCCCTTTAGTTCTCAGTAGGGTGAATGTCCTGAACTTCCAGGAATGTAGGAAAGTGCAATCGCCCCAGTTTTCTAGCAAAAAAAGGGCGTTTTCACAGCTTTGACAATTAGCTGTGGAAGCCTTTAAAAAGGGAGTTTGGATTGGGAAATGGGAGATTTTGTACTGGACATACACAGATTAGCCTGAAATGATTGTTTTGAAGTTGGGATTAGGAAAAATGGTGAAAGCACATGTCAAGTGAATAATTACTGCTTAGTCTGAAGCAGCAGCAACCAATGATCTTTAAGTAGCATGAAATCCAAGCAAAATATTTTCAACAAGGCAGGTTGAGTGAATGACAGGTTAGAAAGGCCAAGTCTTCATTAGTTGAGTGAACCTTCCAAAGAGGAAATGTAGGTAACAAAACTGCTGAACCAAGATTAAAACTTTCATAACATGCACTGTGCATCAATGTGTAGTTTTGATCCAGGTCTCCTAAATTTTATGTTTAGAGACTATATACCTACCGCATTTTAAGATCCGAGATCTTAAATATACTTGTCTCTTGCATTCAGGAAATGGTGATGGATAGTCCCTTTACCAATACCAAGATTGCTAGACAATTTCAAAGAATACTTCAAACATTGCACATTTTGGAGTGTTTGCTTTTCATCTTAGAGCTCAGCTGTAGGGCAATGCTGCCACCTATGGAGGCTGTGCAGAGAAGATACGTAAAAAGAATGGAAATGCAAACAAATAATAAGAAATAAAGGGATGGAAATAAAAGCAAAACTGAACTGGAAATTTACAGTGTCAGAAAAGTTACAAAGAATTTTTAAAAGCATTTAAATATGGAAATGCCTATGGAATTACAACTACAAACATGAAAAATAGATACAAACTGGATACAGTATAGTAAAAGTTAAATACAATAAATTTAATAAAATTTGCAAAGTTACAAATAAAATAAAATTGAGACTTTTACTATTCACAGGTATGGTACATACTGTATCCATCCTGTATCTGTTCTGCATTAATGTAGTCCTAAGTCCATCCTATCCCATGTTTGCATCATTTTATTAGCATTTCTAATGCACAAAGATTTCATTTATTTATATACACAACATTCCATAATATACCCATTTTGTAAATATTTTCCCTTGCATGCTTTTCGTACACAGGTTTTGAGCTGAGAACTGCATTGATAAGTTTGGAAAAATGAGCAATGTGAAAGGTATCAATATTTCAATCTATATACTAGTCTGGGAAGTGCAAATTACCTTGGGTTATTTAAAAATGTGGACCAAATTAAATGAATTCTCCAGTACTCCTCCTCACAGGAACTAACTTCCCAGTTGAAACAAGGAACTATCTTTGATACTTTTTAATGTGACACTTATATAAGAGTTTTACAAATCTGCAAACATAACAAATTTCCCTTACATGGAAGGGGAATTTAATAATTAATTGATTGTTTGAATATCAGTTTGTGTATTGATCACTACCTAAATTGAGAAGGTAAACAAAAAAGATAGGAATATTCCTACTGTTACTGAAAGGGTAGAAATATTTCTGTAGAACTATTGACCTCACAGATGAATCAAAATAGTACTTTCTTTGGAATCAACTAGTGTTTACAGTAGCTCATGTTTCTGGATTATACAGAACTCTTCTTCAAGCTGACAGTTCAAAAAGAGGGGAAAAAAACGGTTTCTGAAGCAGGCAATAATGCTTCCAATTCCAGATCCAAATTCTTAATAAAGGGCTAACAGGGACAGATCTCTAAACAATTGGTTTAGTGTATTCAAAAGGGGTAGGAGATTGTGAATCCATAAAACTGATTGTGATTACAGAACTAGAAGGTGACAGCCACCGTGAATTAAATATAAGTTGTAAGCCAAGTGATGACCTCATAGAGACATATTCATTTCCTGACAAAAGGGACTCTTTGGATCCTTGTTTTTTGTTTCAAACATCTAGTGACATGGCTCAGTGCAACAAAACACACAAGAGAAAATGAAAGACCCAGACCATACTTCATTTGAAACATCTTATTGTATATACAAATCTACACAGGTGTAGAAGCAAAACAAAATGAACAAAAATTAGTTGATTTCAGAATGAGTCAGTGTATCTTTTTTGTACATGTCATGTACACATCTAATAATCCAAATTAGAACAGCATCAAGAAAATCCATGTAAGTATAAAAGAGCTTTTACAAACAGTAATAAAAAGATCATGGCACTAATCCAGCAACAAAATTATCTTTTAAAAAATAAATCTACAGACCAGTTGTAGGTTTGGTTTGGTTTTGAATGACCGCTACTGCTTCAAATACCTCCCATTACCTTTATCATTCCATCTGATTTGGAGCAGCAAAGGACTATAACCTATTGCAGTTTGCTATTTGGTGCATTTATACTATCTTTAAAACTAGGTTCTAGATTCATAAATACTTGTTTTTACATTTCCTATGTGTCTGAAATGGAGGGGTGGGGGGTAAGGTGGGATAATATCCAGTGTTGCACAAGCAGTATGTTGCTCACACAAGATTTTCCCTGGCCCTGCTGCTCCTTGGAGATCTCAACTCTCCAGAACCTGGAGACTCCAGAGTCCTCTGAAGAAGATGCTGAGAAACACAAGGGCTGACGCTGTTCCATTAGTGGAAGGAATCCACTTGATGGTACCTTTAGCTTGTTACCAGGGATCACTGACCACTGTATACTGAGCAGGGCAGGGAGGAAAACACCTAATGATGCTGGAGAACATGAGGATGTAGCACTAAGGACAAAAGGCATCTAAGGAGCTACCATGTAGTTACGGTCAGGATAGGTTTTCATTGCCCCACCCTCTTGACCTGAAATGCCAAGCGGCAAGCCCTGCCAAAGATCCAGTTTACGGGCCACTGCTGCTCATTTTCATTTCTATTACTCATCGTGTGCTTACATTAGCCATCCCATTACTCAGAGGCAATCTGGGCACAAGTAACTGGGAATGCTGCCTATGCAAAACTTATTCAAGTGTATTCCTCTGCCAGAGAACCAAGTTCTCTGCATGGCTGACTGGCCACTGCCATAGAAAAATGGCAAAGCAGTTCTGTGTATAATAATGAGGCATCTTAAAACCTGAATTCGAGCAGTAACACATTTCTTCTACTGGCAGTTTGCTATTTGATACAAACTCCCTGGGGAAAATGTTCTTTTTGCTATAATTCTACAAACTTAAATTCCATTCTTTTTGTTTTATGAAGAACAAAACTGTGCAGGTATTCATATGCATCCAGATAGACTTAGCTAAATATGATTCCCTGATAATTCACCATGGAGAAAAACACATTAAATTATATTTGCCATATTTTATCTTCGACCACAAGTGAGTACTTTTCTGGGGCAGCTTTGCCATTGAACAAATGCTTGAATATGGCTCAGGGGTCATAAAAGGGCCATGATTTCAGTGGGATGACACCAGTCGGGCTAATCTGTTTACATGATATGGTCAACAATACATTGTAAGCATCAAGATAAGAGTTGACTGATATCAAAAGGTCATGATTGCTTCAGTGCCACCTAATAAACAAGGTTTCCCAGGTGGTTTATAATAAATGGCTTCACTAGCTTTAGATGATGCTTTATCGACAATGCTATCTTTGGAAATGTCTAAGACTGAGAAAGGGAAAGAAAACCAGACTTGATTGACAAGTCCATTTAGGTAACTGCCATCACTTCACACTACACTTGGGCTCGCTTCACATACTTGTTTTCAATATGTACAGATTACTCAGTGTGAGTATTGAGCACATCTTCTTATAGCATACATTATTTCCTACCTGAAAGTGTTTTTTGTGTGACGGAATGCATAAGATGAGCTGCAACTCTTATTCTGTATATATACTTCTTTTACCCACAAATGTCTATGCGCATGTGTGTATATATAGCTTGCTAAGAGTTGAGAAGAAGAGGTGGCAACCCAGGAGAGTAAGAACACAGATCTACTTTGATAGATGGAAAAGCAAATGCCAAGATTTTCACAGTACCATATTTTTCAACTACCAGAATCACAGGAATTGTTTCCAGGTAAAGACAGTTACATTAGTGCACTTGCATTATGTTCCTCAGAAGAAAAATAGCAAGTAAGGGCACATAAATCTTGTGTAATCAGTAAAAAGTAAGCAGATACTTGTAGGAGGCTTACATTATTTCTGTTGAACTGCCATTGCCCTGTGTACATATGTCCATATGAGTATTTGGAACAATGAAGAAATGCTTTTTTCTACAGTTGCTCTTTGTGGATGTTTTTAAGAAAATTGGCTCTTCATTAAAAACTGAAGATCTAGCAAATTAAAGGTAAAAATAATTAAATTGCAATCAGACCAAAGGCACAAGGATGCCCATAACAAAACAACGGTATGTACTGTCCCTCTCCAACATGCTCAGAAAGATATCACAGCTAGCTGCTGTCCTACTCAGCTTGCTGCAGTATCTTGCACTGAATGGGGGGGGGGGGGATTTCCTGAAAACCAGCTGTTGCAGTGACAACACAGCCCTTGACAGTGTAATACATTTGGTATCAAATGAATACACCACCGTTTTATTTTTGGTGCATTATACTTCTACAGAAAAATCAGTCCAGTTTCTTTTTCCATGTGGATCCAGAAGTTCAGCAGTTTTTTGATTTTATAACCCATTCAGCATTTGGGTTTAGTTGATACAAAGCCTTCATGTAGGTATCATCATCTAGGCAACGTTCACCTGTTATAAAACACATTAATGATATAAAAATTACAGATTTAAAAGATAATTTATTTTATTTAAAATGTTCCTTAGTTACCTGTTAGGACAGGAACCTTCCTAAGACAATAACAACAGAACACATAATAAAAACAGAAACAGTAATAAAAACAGTGAAAACACAGGAGAAACAGCAATTGCAGGAGCCAGCTGATGAAAATAGCAGACCTCAATATAAAATAAAGCTTACAACAGATTATGGGAGCAACAACTTGGACAGGCCCATTGTGAAATAGCAAGCTGACAGGCCTTCTTAATGGCCTGCAAGTGATAAGGGTTGTCAGATTTCTGATAACAACTTATTCTAAAGATGCTGGGCCATCATAAAAAAGGCCGGCTCTCATGTAGCGACCAACTCACTACTCTACAGGTGGACGAATGAGCAGGACCTCTCTTGCTGATCTTAAAATGTGAGCAGGCTGATACGGGTGAATGTAATCCTTTGAGTAATTTGGTGCTATACTGTTTATAGCTTCAAAACCAGCATTTTAATTGAGCTTGGAAACATAACAGTAAGCAATACATAGTATTGGTTATATAACAAGCTAATCATCTTGTTCATGCCAACATTTAGCCCTATTCTGTACCAACTGAAGGTTCTGAACAATCTTCAAACACTGCTCCATGTACAGAGTATTCCAGTACTCCAGCTGGAGTATTATTAGGGCATGGATTACTGATGCAAGGTCCATTTTCTCCAGACAGTGCTATAGCTGCTATTCCAGCCTAAGGTGCCAAAAATGCACTCCTAGTTACTACAGCCATCTGGCTTTTCCCAGTTAATGCAGAGTCCAGGAGTACTCTGAGGCTATATACACTTTGTCTTATAGGTTGTAAACCTTAATCAGGAGTAGTTGGTTCCCCATCCCACGGTGTTGCCATATTATGTGAATTAATTATTAATTATTTGTATCCCTGCAACCACTGCACCATACAAATCCAACAGCTTCCATGGGTTGTATAGATGGAAACAAGAAATAAAAAAGCATGAAGAATAGGATGGAACCTTGCAGGCTATCAGTGGATACTAGCCTTGCTGATTGTGCCAACTCCTTTACCAGAGGTGGCATGTCAGCGTACACCAGTTTCTGAGGAGCTTGGGCAGGCAGAATTTTTGCACCCATGTGGCTTGAGAGATCCTGTGGGCAGCTGGTTTGCCACAGTGGACCTTCAGTCTAATCCAGCATGGCTTTTATTATGTTCTTATGCTGCAATGTCTTTGAAGTGGAACAAAAGTTCCCTAAACCTCCATAAAGGACCAGACGTACTTTTAAAATGTGCCACCCAAACTCAGTGGTCCATAAAGATACCATTGTTGGCAGTATCAAAAGACACTAAGAGTCTAAAAGAACCAACAGATTGTACTCTCCCATCTATTCCCAATGTAAGCAATCAGCTAAGACAACCAAAGGCATTTCCATCTGATAACCTGACACTTGATTAGAGTGTGTCTAAATATCAGTGTTATCTGACACCGCTTGGGGTTGTGAGGCCATCACACACTGTAGCTCCTTGTCCAAGAATGTAGATGCAGGTTGAGAGGAAGCCCAGGAACTCTGCTCAGCTTTGGCAGATTTCACAAGCCATTGTGGACAAAGGTCTAAAAGGCAGCTGCTAAGTTTCCTCCAAGCATTTAGTCCATTTTTTCATGTTGCACAGGCTAAGAGGTATCTGTAACATGTTTTTATGGGATGCTAGCCCTGTCCATCTCAGACTTTGCCAAATCAATGGTGTCTAAGTCGACCCAGAGCTTTCACTGGAAGCTCAGGTGACAGCGGTGACGAGGAGCACTTTCTTTCAGCTTCGGCTGATCCATCAGCTGCATCCCTACCTGGAGAATGACTGCCTGGTGACAGTGACACATGAGTTGGTGACTTCCCGACTTGACTTCTGTAACGTGCTCTACGTGGGACTGCCCTTGAAGATGGTCTGGATACTTCAACTGGTTCAAAATAGAGCTGCCAGGCTGCTGACAGGGACTGGGCGTTATGTTCACATGACTCCAGTTCTCCGTCAGCTTCACTGGCTCCCCATTGAAGTCTGGGCCCAATTCAAGGTGTTGGTTATGACCTATAAAGCCCTTAACAGCTTGGCTCCTGGTTACCTGAAGGAGCGCTTACGTCCATATATGCCCGCCCGCCCCTTGAGATCTGCGGGAGAGGCCCTTCTCCGGGAACCCTCCGTGAAGGAAATTAGGAGGGTAAGTACTCGAAGGCGGGCTTTCTCTGTGGTGGCGCCCAATCTATGGAATGCGCTCCCCAGAGAGGTCAGCCTGGTGCCGTCGTTATTCGTTTTTAGGCACCAGGCGAAGACCTTTTTATTTAAACGTCATTTTAATTGTTAATTTAACTGTTAATATTATTTATTTTATATCCTTGGCCAGGTTGACTCAAATTCTATTGTTTTTATATTGTGATTATTTATTTATTGATGTGAGCTGCCCCAAGGCTTCGGCAAATGGGGTGGCATAGAAGTTTCCTAAATAAATAAATAAATAAATAAATTGGCACAAATAGAACTGTCTTGATTAAGAACGCAGTCTCTCTTACCAGGGTCTGAAAAAGCCTTATCATCTAAATGCACGGTATTAGCATTATCCTTCCCTACCTTGGCTGTCTTTAATCATGGCAACTTTGTGAGATACTGACAGAGGCTATGCTTACGTCTTTCCCCAAGTAAGGTGGTAAAGTCTGACATAACCCAATGATACATCTGTCCTCCTCCCTGGCCTAATACCCCTGACTTGAATGGTCTGACAAACACTCCTTCATGCACATAAGTCTCTGGTATTCACAGATCTTCAGTATGCACTTTTTACTACATTGTCCCCTCCAGCTGTGACCATTTAACAGACAAGTTACGTGCCTCTCTTTAAACACTGCTCCCTGCTGCATAGTATAAAGCAGATGGGCAGTAAAGACTACTCAAGGCCAGTGCAGGTATATTGTAGGGGACAGGATGAAAGAGAGAGAACCTACTGAGTCCTGAAGTGACCATCGAATTCCATCCCACACTGTAGCTGAAGGAGAGAGCCAGTGTGGGGTGGTGGTTAAAGTGCTGGACTGGGGACCTGGGGGATCCAGGTTCTAGTCCCCACTCAGTCATGAAGCTCATTGAGGGATTATGGCCCAGTCTGAGCCCAACCTACCTCACAGGGCTCTTGTCATGAGGATAAAATGGAACTACATATGCTGCCTTAGGTGCCTTACAAGAGGAAAAAAAGGCGGGATATAAATACAAGGTAACAACAACAGCAACAATGTAATGTGGGCAGCTACAAAGCTGCCTCTAAATAGTAGCACCTACTGGAGTTGGCCGTTCCAACGCGGAGAGTCAGTTGGCACTCACGCCTCATTGTCCAACACTGCTCAAAGCCACGTGGCTGACATCACATCACCCTCTTCCACCACCAGGGCCCCACGTCCCGCACTATGCAACATCCAAGAGCAATGTCCTTACACTGCATATTCATAACTTCTCACCTGGCCCTAGACATGTTCCATCTCCATAGAGGCACTTTCATGCATTATCTGTGGTCATTTCAGCAGTACCACGTGACATGACCCCTGCCTGAGTCTGTGCATAATCTGTCGAGTAAACAGCCTTACCAATATTTCCTCCAACTTCATATAAAAACACCTCTTCTTTCTTCAGATCTTGGACCATCCCACTATAAAGAAATATAACAAATAATTAGGCCAAATACAAAAGCTACTCAATGTAGTTAGGAGGTTGCTCTACAGCCTGGGAAATTGCCAGTGCACTAAAATTATCTTTTCCCATCTGTTAAATTACTGAAATAAGCATATCATACTTGGATGATAATGGAAAGATGAACATATACTATAATGAATCACATGGAAACAAAATGACTTGGAAGTAATTCATATATCCACAAAGGCTGGTAATCTTTCCATTTTTAACACAGGCACTTGATTTGTACTATTTGAATGGATTCCATTATCTTAAACTGATGCACACAGTTAATGTTCATACTAGAGGCATATATTCCTAAAACTGAACACACACACACACACATATATTATATATATATAATATAAAATTATATTCACACACATACACACACTCCCAGGACTGCTTTTATTAGCATTGTATTATATTACATTTATATCCTACCTCTTTTCTTTTGCAAGCAATTTAGGTGGTTTACAAGGTTCTCTCCATTTTATCCTCACAATAACTGTGTGAGGGAGGTTAAGCTAAGTCACTAACTGACCCAAAATCACCCAGTGAGCTTCTTCACTGAGTAGGAACTAGAAGTCTAACAAGTCCCAGTCTAACACTCCAGCCACTATACTGCACTAGCCTATACAGACAATTCACATGCAACACACATTGCATCGAGTCCTATTGCTGCCATCAGGCATGCGCTATCACTACAAACATAACTGGGAGAAGGGGTGCAGCCATGCTGCAGAAGCAACCAATCTGCTGTGCCAGTAGCCCCGTTTTGTAAAACCCACATGAGCACATGCATTCTCAAATTTTGGACTGGGGGAGCAAGTACCCTTCTGTGGGTTTGCTCCACTTTTAAAATGTCAAAACGCATGACAGCAGAGAAGGATTTAATTGGTAAATGTGTCATGAGCAGAGCCGGCTAGAGCTGGGGTTGGACTACATGCCCTGGGAGATCCCTTCTGACTCACTCTATGCTTCTATGTTCTCACTGCAAAAGAGCTAAAGAATACTTGGGAAATGATAGGATGATGTTTGAAGGTACAGATGGGGCAAACTGCACTGCCTGTCAATAGAAATGCCATGGCACTGTATGGTTGGTCTCTGTGAGAGACACACAAATATGTTACATGCAAATGAGGCAGTAACTGCAGGGAGCAATGCCATTAACCACTCCAGATTTCCAATTGACAGCAGGTTTCCCTGAAGTATTGGTGTAACCAGGAGGGAAGACATCTGTACCTCTCCATAGGAAAGATTGTATCAGGAACTAAGTTTCCCCTTACTTGTTTTAAGCATCCAAAACCACAGACAGTCTCTTTGAAAAACAGTTCTTCATTGCCAAAGCACAGCTAATGAGTTTTATCAACTGAAAGACTAGTCTCTGTGCATGGACAGAGTGGTTAGTTGATCCTAAACTAGAAAGTACTTCTGAAAACCTTCCTTTTAAATGGTAATGGAATCTACTCCTCTGCATGGGTCACCCTTTAGAAGGACAAGCTGTCAAGATCTATGCAGGCCCTCTAACCAAGTAGCTCTTTTATCCACATACCACGTCCTGAGAGAGGGGCTGGACAGGAAATAGACGGATCTTCCACCTCTCCTCTGTACCCTTGCTTCTCTTACAAGCCCTGCCTTTCCCCTGGTCTGTCTGAGAATCTGGGGGCAGAGGCCTTGAGAAAGTCTGACCCTTCTCTAACCCCTCAACTCCCACACCCCCATCTCACAGTCTTCACTCAGTGTCACCCTGTTCTTGGAAAGTGCACCATCATTCCCAACAGAATCACAAGTAAGGAGCCACTTCTCAAAAAATGAAATTGCTATATGTGCGTTTGCAGGCTTGCAGCATTTTAGAACATGAAGCAATTTCGAGGGCTGGAAGTCCAGGTACAAGACTGTATATTGATGATTTCAACCTGAATCTGCATAATAAGAAAACTCCCTTGGATCTTAAGAGTCAAAGATCGTGCTGCACAAACACCAGGAGTGTGACAGCTCCCTCCTTTGATCTACAGCTCTTCCTGTGTCCCTAAAACTGAGTGCAGGATCTTGTAGAGTGACCTTTAGATGGTGTAGGTGGAAATCAGCAACACAGCCATCCATGAACAGAAATGCCTTCTTCACGGACAGTCAGATTGCTGGAGTCTATGTAGCTAGAGAAAATCTGACAAATATTCTTTTTGGTACTAGAAAAGGCATCTTTTCATGTTTATACACACTGACACAAATTTTCATGGAAGAAAGTTCTTCCTCCACTTCCTGTATCTTTCCATTTCACCAGTGACATGCTGCATGCATCTATTCATCACAGAAGCAATTCCTCAACAAATGTGTCTGGAACCTTCCAGCCACTGGGGCATATCCATGGGTTCCCAACATAGCAAGCTGGCCTGAGATCACTGTTCCAAAACTGAAAATGAACATTCCAGTTGGTAAAATAAGTTGATAAAAAATTGTTGCCTTTTCTTTTTAATGAATTCAAGATAGAGAAAGTTAATAATTAAATATACATTCATCCTCTGGGCAAAATTAAGTCAGATTTTTTTCCTTGCTGTAGAATTTAGAACTATCACATTAAAAAATGAAGTGCTTGGGAGAAAGAAAGGCAGGCAGGCAGGCATGTACCTTTTTTGGCTGAGGAACCTGCCAACTATATCGCTAGCTTTTAGTTCTTCTGTCAGCTGGATTGCCATGGAAACTTTGGAAAGATGAGGCGCTTGCACCCGTATTACTCTCTGAGGAATATCAGCCTGAAAAGCAATAATGAAATTGGAACATAGCAGCTTGCAGCTGGCAATGAGGAATATCTCAACAGTGCAGAATAATTAATTTGGACAGATCACAAACTGAAATTAGACATATTGTTCTATGCAGAGAAGACTTTTTAACCTATTATACAATCAAATAAAATGTGTATAAACACATATCTTTGTTATAGGGATAGAACATTAAGGATAGGAACTGTGACAGGTATTCACAGAAAAAGTGCATGTTCATCTGAACTGAATCTTGTTCTTATTAAAAACAAAACCAAAAACACTCTCTTTTTTAATTTGTGCTTTTGTTATTACTAAAAGCATGTTAAGATTAGTTAATAGTTTGGTTTTCTAACCAAAAGTTTTTCCCTTGCCAGATATTGAAGTTATTTTATGTTGTTGAGTATCATTCTTAATTACAAAATTAAAGGTGTTCTATTTCAAATTCTGAATGTGATTCAACTCATATTAAGTTATACATGAAATTCCTTTTAAAAAAAAGGATAGGATTTTTAGTTTGTTCAAAATTCAATGCATTTTATTAAAACTGTAGTACTAGTTACAATCCCTAGGATTGGTTTCCCAAACCTGGTGCCCTTCAAATGTATTGGATTGCAACTTTCATCATTCCTATTAGCCATGCTGGTTGAGAATAATGATAATTGCAGTCCAGCACATCTGAAGAGCATAAAGGCTATCCTAAACATAATCCTCAGCAGGCATTTTGCTGCTAGCCTGGCTCCTCACGTTAGGATTTAATAATAGAATACTGAAGTCAGTCTCTCTCTCTCTCTCTCTCTCTCTCTCTCTCTCTCTCTC